AGGGACGCGTTTCTGGCCAGGGACCTTCCAGGATTTGGGGCATGTGATCCCTTTGCATTTTCCAGTGGGAACACAGACATTTCACAGAGAACACGTAAGTTCTCTTTCTCAGTCACCTTTTGAGGGACTTCAGAAGAAAACATCATCATTTGTGGAGTAAAAAGCTGAAAACCACTGAAATTCCCCCCAAAACTTACTGTGTTCCCTCACTGCAGACTTTAACAGCAGCTCTGAACCTCACATCGCACCCTCCCCTGCCAGGGGAGAGACCCAAATTCTAAAATTACCCACTCCAAATGAGCATTTTCACAGCCCACTTTGTATCAGCAGTCACTGAGTAATTCACAGCAGATCTAAGATTAGCTAACGAAGCGCAGTGACTCATCAGCCAAACCTCTGTGCCGCTGGGAAAATTCAATTTTTCTTTAGCAACAGAGCTTAAACTGTGGAAATTATAAATAAATACAGTTTGGAGAGGAGGATTCTTATTTAAAACTCACTGATACAGATATTTGTGCCTACAATGCCCTTGTAACTGCATCTCTGACAGTTTGCCCTAGCGTGGGACGGTGCCGGGGGTCCTGTGGCCCAGCCGTGGGTCCCCGACCGGCAGCGCCGCGGGGCCGAGCGGGAGAGGGTCCGGCCGCGCCGGAGCACGCCGAGACAACGCACTCACCAGCAGAGCCTGATTCCAAACCGCTCATTAGCTCACACCCATACGCAAATTAAAACCATGCAGAATCATTACAGGCTTCTGCAGATGACGTTGTTGAGCAAAATGATGGGGTGGAGGAAAGTCATAAAGAGTTGAAGCAGGAGGGGTCCCTGCCCCCACGCCAGCCGTGCCATGCAGAACACGGCCAAATTTCAGTCCTGGAGCAAAGATGAGCTCTGGATCCAGGTCCCGTGAGCTTGGTTGCAGTTGCAGGATTGGGACCCCACCACACCCAGCCCCCGTGGGACCACCATCCCCCTGCCCAGCCCCTCTGCTCTCCCCGTGGAGGCCCCACTGATATCCAGCCTGAGCTTCTCCACCACCACCAGAACCACCTCCACCTCTCTGCAGCCATTACATGTGGGCTGAGTGACCAGGTGCTACCGTCATCAGAGAACCAAGGAATGATTGGGGTGGGAAGTGACCTTAAAGCCCCTCCAGTGCCACCCCCTGCCCTGGGCAGGGACACCTCCCACCAGACCAGGTTGCTCCAAGCCCCCTCCAACCTGGCCTTGAACCCCTCCAGGGATGGGGCAGCCACAGCTTCTCTGGGCAACCTGGGCCAGGCTCTCACCACCCCCACAGCAAAGAAGTTCTTCCCCACATCTCGGCTCAGCCTCCTGCAGCCCAGCACAGGGGGGCTGGCAACGGGGGGCCGAGCCTGAGCTGCCCCCCCAGCCCCGAAGCGAAGAAAACCAACCCCCCCTTGCTCCTCAACGGCCCCTGGGTGGGGGCTGCTCCGTGTTCCCTTCAGCCGCACTCCAGAGTCTCCATTTCAGCTGGGTTCTGTTCCAAGCCACATCAGGCCTCGGTTATCAAAGCCAAATGCTTCAGGTTTTGGTGTGTAATGAAAACCAGCTGACAATCTATGTGTTTGTCCTGAGAAATTGGTTTTGAAAACAACTTGCCCAACTTTGTGTTTTATAATACGAGCTTAAAAAAAAAAAAAAGAGTTTAGGGGAAAGAAGATATTTTCCATACAAGCCAGACGTTTGATTGGATTAAAGCAAGCTTCCCTTTCAATTAGGCTGGCTGGAGCACCGCCGAGGGCCGGGCGCCCGGCTCCGATGCCCCTCAGCCCGGAGGAGCCATCGCCGGTGCCCAGGCTGCTCCCTCCTGCCACAAGCCCAGTCCTGGCTGGAGGCCCCCAGCACAGCCCAGAGCCCCCTGCCCAGCGAGGGGCCAGGACACCCGCGGGGTGCCCGAGCGGAGAAGGGAGCACAGAAAAGTGTGAAACTGGGAGAGAGACAAAAGGAGCAGCTTTAGGAAAACATCCCGGAGGCTATTCAGGCAGAAGCAGGTGCTGTGATGCTTCACCACCATCATCCCAGCCCCCCCCATCTCTGCTGCCACCGGCTCCGCCACAAGTGCTCCCCAGGCATTTCTCTTACACGGGGAGTGTGGTGGGACCCCCAGAGCGAGGGTCCAAGGGCCACCAGCCCACTCTCACCATCAGCCACAGCCTGGCCGCCCGCTCCGCTGGCGATGGTGCTGCAGCCCCGGCAGCTCTGCCTGCCCTTATCGGCGTGAAATGGGCACCGCGCCGGCAGCCACAGCACAGCCACCGGCAGAGATGGCATCTATGCCTTAGGATCCCTGATGGAATCTGAACCATGTGGGTTTTTTATTCTGCAAGTCACTCGGGTGGCTTTATCGGCACAGAACAAAAGGTTGTTTAAATACTGCATCCCTAAGTGCCACAACCCCAGCACTGGCTCAGCAAAAAACCCCTCCCCTCGAGGGGCCAGCGCAGCCACAGGGGCACCCCCAGCACCACCCAGCCACCAACGTGTAGATTCAGGATATTAGTAAAATGCCTTATTACAAAAAATACTGATGGGTTTGGTATTGGTTTGAATAATGTCAGAATAAAATACTGGAGCCACCCTCGGATCCTGCAGCGCTGGTGTCTCACAGCTGGGCTGTGTGCGCTGCAGCTCAGCCAGAGGGCTCGGGGAGACACCCCCAAAACCACAGTGCGGAGCAGCGGAGACTGCAGTAAGACTTCAGTACAGTGAGAATTGAAACAGACTTAAAGAAGCCCACCATTTCCTAAAACCAGGCTCAAGTTGTAAAAGTATAAGGAGGAAAACCTTAAAAGCAAAATGTCACAGCGTTTGGAATCTGTTATCGGTGTTCCATGGGTGGCACAGAATCTATTACAGGGAATACTAACGACCACTTACTATTCCTGAACGCTGCCATTTAGGTTTTAACCCAACGGCATTTTTCCTGTGACAGAATAAAAGACTAAAGCAGTTCAGATTTCACATTATTAAATATGACACTTAGAGACATCTACATTAGCTTTTTAAAATCAGTTAAGAAATGAAACATCACCATGCTCTTGGTTTATGCTTTTGCATTTGCTGAGAAATTATTTTCATTTATCTGTGAGCACAACCGCTGCTCTGGGGACACGAGGTGACAGTGACTCTCCTGACAGACAAAGGCAGAGGTTTGCACTCTATGGTTAAACATCTGGCAGAACACCTTTATGTGCACCAGGGGTCTTACTGCAGGGCCAAAATATCACAGGAACAAACTCTGGGACATCTCTCTTCAACGCTACCACCCCGGGACCACATCCAGCGTTGGAGGGCTGGACATGAGCTTACCTTCTCCGTCCCTTTCATGTCCCCAAGCCTGGAGACAAGCAGTAGCCCAAGCGTGAGGTACCGAATTCCCTCTCACACCCAGCAGAGACCCAGTGCCTGGTCTTAAGGATGTTTCTGCCCGTTCACGGGACCTGAGGGACACCCGCTCGCCTGCCTGGGAGAGAGAGGGACTCACCTCTTGCTCTTGGCACCTCCACCAGCGCGGAGCAGCCCTTCACGATGGAGCAGACAAGCACCGTTCCTGAGTGTGGGGGAGTCAGGGGTCGGTAATGCTTGTTTCACCTTTTTTTTTTAAATTTTTTTCAATGAACAGAAGGCTGCTTGTAACTCCCTTCAGCTCACTGCTGGAACGCTATGTCCAGAAAGCCTTGTGAGAGCTTTTGGCAGGGATTTTGTACAAAACAGGACTGTGTGAGCAGAAAACACAAGAACTACCTCACACGGCCATCAGCTAAGCCCAGGGCCGAGTCTGAGAAGATGCTAGAAAAAAGGCCCACAGAGAAAACTCCTGGAGATGGAGGGCTGAGAAAGGCAGAGCTGTTTTCTCCGCGAGCGGGAGCGCTCAGGGCACAGGAGCAGCTTTGCCAGCCCCGAGTCCGGAGACAGGCCGAGCGGACGCCCGGGTAAACAACTCCCCCACCGCGGCGGCACAGGGCGAGGAACAGCCCTCCCCTACACACTGCCCTCCTTTGGGCACTTATTTTTGGAAAACAGGAAGCTTATTGATTTGTTTGTGGAGGTGGCCAAAAGCGTTCTGGGCAGAGATGTCCTGTTTCAGCACTGCAGTTTGCCCGGCATGTTCTACACCGCAGCCTTCCAGCTCTTTCAGGGGAAACATATTTGACTCATTGTACACTCTGAGACTCAGCAGAAGGGGCGTTTTTGGTGTTGAATTCCTCTTGTTAAACTTTGTTGTTGTTCAAGAGAAAAGGGAAGCTCTGACCTCTCCTGCTGACATACAAAAGACCACAACATGAACCAGGAAAACACAAGTCTGTGTTTTCCGATCTGCTCGTTCTTCTAATTCAACACTAGTTCCTCACAGTGTTTGCTGTGAGGGATTCAGAGCAAACAGGAACAGAATCTGTGCAAGGACCCTGGAGCTCGGAGGTGATCTTCTACACGCACGCAACATTCCACCTACCAGGGACAACTCCGAGCTGTTTTCTCCAGCACCAGAAGCAAAGGATTACCATAAATTAACATTTCTAGGCTGAGGGAATCCAAGGGAAAGCTAGGCTAATGCAAAACCAGAAAAATTAACCAATACAGTTTCAAAAGCTTGTCCATAGGTCACTTTAGTTAGTAAACCATTTGTACCCTAAGTCTGGCACAAAACTGTAGGCTGCTCTCTGTTTTTTAAAGACTGCTAATCATTTCTGGTCACGTGTCAGGCCAACAATCCTTTCTACCCAACACCATGTGTTCAAGGGGCCTGAAATTACACTCATTGACCAAGTGTGAACAGAAAAAAAGTTAGTTCAAACGTGGATTGCCTCTGCAGTCAGGGGAACGACCCACCTCCACACGCGAGCACCAGCAGCATGCGGCGGCGCTGCCAGCTCTTCAGGGGTCTCCAGAGACACAAGCCCCCCGCGTTCCCAGGTGACTGCCTGCTCACGTACCTCACAACACCGCCTCGCCAGCGCTGTAGGAACGACAGGAAGGAGTTTTAACACATGCAACGACAGCCACAGAGTTCTGTGTTGCACATTTTCCAAGTTTTAATAGAGACCAGAGTGAGTCCGTTGTACTTAAGACACTACAATGATTTCACTCTATTGCATGTCCTGCTCCAATTACACTTCTCAGAGTACAGTACTGAGTAGAAGTTTGGTAGCTTTAAAATTAACACGTGTGAAATCTGTAAGTAAAATAAGCAGCAACAATAATTTTTGGGATTTTATCAAGAATAGCTAACTTTTAGGTAATAAATACATTCCAAGTTGTGGTTTTTGCTGTTCTCCTAGTTCATTGCCATATGACTCGTCAAATTCTCATCCTGGGGTAAGGTATCCTTAAGACTTTCCTGCAGCCTCACACCAGAAGAGCCTCCTAACGCCACGTCCTGGTGCCTGTCACCTGTCCCAGATGAAAAGCAGTGCAAGGTGACAAGGAAGCCCGTCCTCCTGCCATGTGCACGGCCACCTCCAGGTTCTCCTGGGGAGCGTGTCAGGGTGTCCACAGACTGGGTGACCAGAGCTCTAGGAGAACAGCCGTGCTCTTCTCTTCTGTTACCTTGAAGAAAGTGAGAGAGGGAGAGGTTACTGCAGGCAGCGTGGAATAGACCAGCATTAGCAGCAAGGCACACGCTCTGGCTTTCCTCTAAATATAGCCAGGAATTCTCCTGCTCCCAGCAAAGCCAGAGCAGCTATAGCCTGGGAAGAAACATGCCAAGTTAACAAACCCAAAGTAAGAGTGGGAATTGTCTCCAAGATAGACACGATGTGAATTTCGGTGACAATAACAAATCTTCCGTCTCTGGCTTAAAGACTTTTAAGTCCCCATTCGGGGTGGGTTACTGTAGGTTAATCTGCCACAAGTCCCTGCAGAGCGTGCCACGTGAGGAACATCTGCCTCCACTTTTCAAACACCATCTATAAAATAGGATTATTTTCCCCTTGAGAGCGAGCCGTACAGAAGCTTTTTAAGTACCTGCAACTGCCCAAGACGTTGAGTCGCTGTTAATGCAGTGGCAGAGCAGCCCTGCCACCTTCTCCTGCTGCCTCCAGAGCTAAGGGGCAGCCCCTTTCCCCTCGCCCCCCGCTGCAGGCTCCCCTTCCCACCCTGGATGCTGCTCCTTGCCGGCTGTAGAACCAGAGAGTCCTGGGGGTGGCCAGCATCTCTCCAAGGACCACGCACCACTCTGAGGGTGGCCGTGGCTGAGCGCTCCAGAGCATGACCAACCAGCCTTCGAGCAACGAGATGCTCATTGTGAATTCAGACGTGCGGGACAACATGCTCCAAATCACAGCTACCAAGAGGTAGGGAGGCTGCCCACGCTCAACATGTCACACCACTGTCAGCGTGTACTCTCCAGGTACCCCTCACTAAGAGCGAGGGCAGGGACAGGCTTGAAAAGATGCGTCTGCTGAAGAGGGATGCGTCTGTCACAACAAAAATCTACCAAAAACTACACTGGCATTGGCCCCATCAGTCAGGTTACGGAGTGGAAGCCTTGCAGGAGTTCAAAGGGAGAATCCCTTTGTCTTCAGGATCAAGTGAGGAAACCAGAAGACACGTAAAACAACTCAGTGATACAGAAACAAATGGAAAAAAAAGGCATGGAGATCCACACTTATCACTTTTCATGGCACCCATCTCAAAGGCAATTGAGTTTGAGCCAGTTCAAGAGTCTGACCAGCCCCAACACACGTCCCTGCCACATCAGCCCACATGGACCAGTCAGAGCCACAGGACAGGGCTCAAGTCCATGTTCCTGACAAACAGGATTAATGCTACAAAGCAAGAGATCAAAGACCTTTAAAGACCCCTCAGAGCTGAGGTTTGTGACTTGCAGGTACAGAGCACAATGAACCAAGAACGCCAGCACCAAACGCAGGAGGACCATGACGTTTCCCATGCTGCTGGAAAGGCACAGCACCTTCTGCGGGAACGGAGCCAAAGTGATTTGCCCACACTCGGCACCAGAGTGACCTTCAGTATTGCCCACACAGATGAGACTTCAAAGTGCTGAGTTAACGCACCACCAGCATCTGCCCTCAGGCCTGTATTCCAGGGAAGGACTGCAAGCAGGTTTCACAAACTCCTTCAGTATCTGGCAGAATCATCCCACTCCTAAGAAACAGGGATGTCTCATGAGAAGGCTCTATTACCTCTAGTCGACAGACCGTGAGTTTATACTTTATACTTTATACTATCTTGCAGGGGAATCCATTTGCCTTCTGAAGAACGGTGAGATTTTCAAGAGCGTACCACAGCTTCACTTTCAGGCTTATTATCTTACATCCACCAAAGTCTCAGTGAGGTCCACGGACTGGGCAGAATATCCCTCGGTTTTTGCAAGAAGCTGACCCTTTAGAGACAGATAACAGACTGAGAATATTTGGTCTAAACAGGAAAAAATGCATTTCCTTGTTGGGAGGTAACAGCAAGCCCTCAGGGCAGTTTTGTTCTTTGTGATGTTCACACTTGGAGGAAGGAAACACCAGGATGGGAGCACGATGCCAAACGCCTCCCAGAGAGGGCTCCTGCCTGACCCCGGGCAGATGCTGCCCCATCGCAGGGACAGGGACGAGGTCAATGGCAGCAGCCCCCCCGAGACTTCCTCGGGGCAGAGACCAGGCATTCTCTCCCCTGGCAACAGAAAGCTGCTGCTACCAGCAAAATGGGAAACTCCTTTCCAACAGCTGATGCTCCACGTCCCGAAACGGTGCAGCCTCACCACCCTGCTGAGCACTGTGTGCCCACGGACGGACACACTTGTCCCCAGCCTGGGGACACAGAGCTCCACGGCCTGGCTTGGGGTCTGTTCTGAGCAACCCCCCAGCAGACACAGGAGTTCTCAGCACGTTGAAACACAGCGATGGTCACTCAAACACTCTCACTTTGTTGCCGGAAAACTTCAGAGGTTTCTGCTAAAAAAAAATAAATCTCCAAGAGGGCACAGCAGGTTGAACACCCCACTCTGGCCATGGCCACAGCCTCGGCACGTGCCTGAGTAATGAACACATAACAGAGCGACTGACTCAGGACAGCGGCACGATCCAGCAGCCCGTGTGCTGAGCTGTGCGTCGAAAGGAAAGCCAAGAAAGCTCTCCTGAAGCCAAGTGCTTATTCATGGTAAAAAAGAGCAAAGTTTTGGATCAAATAAAGCCATTCACAAGCTCAGATTTAACAGCTGCAGCAGAGCACAGAAAGCCGATTTATTCTCCAAGGTCACCACATCCTGGGTGTGCTGATCCGTGGGGACCCTGCTCCCACCAGCTCTGCCCTCTCAGGGGACTCACACTGTGACCCTTCAGGTGAGACAAGTGCAGGACACCCCCGGCACCCCTCTGCGGCACAGGGAGCACCCCAGGGCCCGCACCTTGCACCTTCCTGAGAGTTCCAGGTCCAGCTTCCCAGCCTGAGGCACCAGCAGGTGGCCAGGGGAAGGCCAGAGGGACCACTGGTGGCCACAATCCAGGAAAGTCCTTCCCATGCTCTCCTCCTGTGGGTGAGTGGGGGTGATCGCAGCCGGGACCCCAATCCCTGACCCACCGATGGGAGCTTCAGAACCATCCCCAACTCCCAAGGCATCAGCACCCAGCTGAAGTGAACACCTCGGCAGTGGCGTTCTCCAACGTCTCTGTCATCCCAGCATCTCTATGAAAAATCCCCGATCAGGTTCGAGGGTTTTCCGCCTTTAGGAAGGGTTGCTTTCTGCATGAAGGAAAGGCTCGAGTTATTGGCTGGAGTCAAAACAGAACAGTCATCATTCGTAAGGGAAGTTAAACCAGTAATCTTGCTACAATTAATTTCTTCAGCTGCAGAGAACACACAGGAAATACGCTTTATAAAGAAAACAAGTCTGTCTGATCCTACAAGAGCAAGAATCTAATGCAAATTAAACAGGAACTGGTATGTCAGTTAAAAGCATTCACTCCTTCAGAAATAATCAACTTAATGAAAAAAAACCTTCATTAAAAAGATGCCCAGCTCCTCCCTTCCAGGGAGACACACATACCCAGGGATTGCAGGAGCAGTGCAGGGGTGAGAAGCATCATGACTCCAGAAGCTGAGGCATTAACCCCAGCTCTGCCGCCCCTGCCCCACACCAGGAGCCCTTCTCAGACGTGCACAGCCTCGGGATGCGCGAGAGCTCATTAACCACCCAATGCAGAACCCACATAGTCTGTAAAGGCACATATAGAGTGCAAAACAGATTTTAAAAAAATAAAGCAGGCAGCAGCTTATCCTCATCCAGTTTGTAGGACACGGGCGAGTGGCTTCCTGGAGTCCTGTGTGAGACTGAAGTCAGGGATGGTCACTCAGCCCACACACTGCCATTGACCTCGACCCCAGGGGCAGCAACGGGGACTCGGGGAAAGAACAAAACACGTATCAAGGCTGAAACACAAATTCACAAGTCTTTCAGCATTTAGGAGTCTTCACATCAATTTTTGGGTTCAAAGTCTTACCTTTCTCACCTGAGCATTAAAATGGGAAATGTCTGTGTCCCGCTGCTGTGTCAGCAGGCCCCATGTGCCATTAACAGGGCTGGGCTATTGCATGTCGTGTTCATTCCTCTCCTCCAGAGTAACACGCTTCTCAACACAGGGCTGCCCCTGAGTTTCCAAAAACCCCTGCTCCCTCCGGGCCCAAAGCAGCCCTTCTGTATGTGCAACCTGGAGGTGCTCAGGAGTTTGCAAATCCCCACTTAGCCCCAAGAGGAGCAGGACAAAGGTTTGAGCCTTACCCAGGGGCATGAGGAAGCCTCAGAAGGGCTTTACCCTGTGGGCTGCTCACTCCAACCTGTGCATGAGCCATCCCCGAGCCTGACCCCATCCTGCTGGACTCACCCTGCCCGTGGCCAAAAGGGGTGCCGCCATTTTAGACACCTCCATTTGTGTCTACAAATGAAACGAGAACATAAATGCCACGGAAATTTCAATTTTACAGTATTTGTAAAAGTTTTAAAAGAAACAAGTTTCCAAGCTCTTTGTCCAGACACCTCTCCTCACCACGCAGATGAAGCACATCTCTCCCAGCCCAGGAAGCGGAGCTGCTCTGCGGAGCCTGGTGCCCCCACACTCCCCTGAAACCTCAACAGGGGAGACTCTGCCCCTCTGCTCCGCTCTGGGGAGAGCCCCCCCAGTGCTGCCTCCAGCTCCAGGGCCACTGACAGCAGAAGGACATGGAGCTGTTGGAGCGGGGCCAGAGGAGGCCACGGAGATACTGGGAGGGCTGGAGCCCCTCTGCTGGGAGGGGGTGCTGAGAAAGTTGAGGGGGTTCAGCCTGGAGAAGAGAAGGCTCCAGGGAGACCTTGGAGCCCCTTCCAGTCCCTAAAGGGACTCCAGGAAAGCTGGGGAGGGACTCGTGATCAGGGAGGGGAGCCATGGAATGAGGGGGAAGGGTTTGACACTGAAGGAGGGGAGATTGAGCTGAGATGTGGGGAAGAACTTGTTTGGTGTGAGGGTGGTGAGAGCCTGGCCCAGGTTGCCCAGAGAAGCTGTGGCTGCCCCATCCCTGGAGGGGTTGAAGGGCAGGTTGGAGGGGGCTTGGAGCAACCTGGGCTGGTGGGAGGTGTCCCTGCCCAGGGCAGGGGGTGGCACTGGGGGGGCTTTAAGGCCCCTTCCCACCCAAACCATTCCACAATTCTATAACGAATCCCCCCAAGCCCTCAGCACAGGCCCCACCAGCACCAAGCACAGCAGGCTAGTGACACCGCAGAGGGACACCCACCCTCTGCTCACTCTTGGCTAAGCACAACTCACAGATGCCCAAAGCTTCAGAGGGTCTTGGAGACCCTCAGTCCAGAGAGCAGCCTGCCGTGCTTCCAAGGGAGTTGTTAAGCCCTTTGGGTGACACCAATCTCCTCCGGCAGCTGAAGTTACAGCTCACGTAAGCAGATCGCGTTCTGGGGCATCTGCGCAGCTCGTGTGCGGTTACAAATAGCACAATGTATGGCCTGCTGGCATTTCCAAAAGATATGGCTGGGAGCAGAGCGGAGGGAGAGCGGGGCAGCAGATGGCCCCAGCACGGAGCGAGGTGTCTCCCACGGGGACCGTGGTGGTCACACACCAAACGCACAAGTGCTTTTGGGAAGAGGGAAAGGGGCAGGATGGCACCAGAGGTGCAGCCCCAGCGACGGGGGACATGGGTTTGCGGCGCAGGCTATTTTAGACTTGTTCTCCCACTCTGTATTAGTATGCAGGGACGCTGGCTCCAAGCTGTTTGGAGGGAGACTGAGAAACAGTAATTAAGTTGGATGCTTGGTTTTAGTTGACTGAACCATCTAGAAGCCACGCCAAGAAAAATCTCAAGCATTCGTCTTCTGGGCTGAAATATTTCACGTGACCAGGCAGGTGTTTTCAAAAATTTAGCTATCACAGCAATCACCACCACAACTTTATATAAAGTTATAGAATCCTGTTATGCCACTGGCAGAGCAGAAGAGAAGGGGGAAAAGGAAAAAGAAGAGTGATTTATGTTGCTTCATAAACTGCTGGCAGGCAGTACTGGCTACATGCACATACAAAGCCCTGAACATCTTTGAAGGTGAAGTCATAACCCAATGTTCCAAATTTTACATTAGAGCTTACTATATATAGCTTGGATGCAATAGGCTTTGATTTTGCTGTACACAGTACCAGTGTGTCTTTTGTGATGAATGGCTAAATGCACCAATACTGAGGGTCTATTAAGCTAATAGCAGTAAAATTAAAACCTTCAAAACCCAGGATTTTCAAGTCACAGCTTGGGGGAAGAGGAGATAAAGAGAGGGAGGAAGAATAAAGGATTTTCCAGACCAAAAGAGCAACTGAATTTACACGTTGTAAACTTGTTTCAAGCAGAGATGTATATGAAAATCTACAAGCAGTTTGTAGAAGAAGTTTTACTGCATGAAAGAGCTGTGGGCAGGGAGGGGGCTGTCCTGAGGAGCGACTGGGGAGGATCACGGGAGCAGAAGGGACCCAGCCGTGTGGCACTGCAGGGTTTGCTCAGCCTGACAGGGACCAACACCCTCACGGCGCAGAGGGGACGGAGCTACACGCGCTCCTCGAAAGTCCCCTGACCCCACCACGCAATGTGTGCCCCGGAGCAGGGACAGGGTGACCTTAGGAAACACCTTCCCTCCCGTGCTGCATCCGTGGTGGAGCTGCAGCCGCAGCCCCATCCGCTGCTCGTCCCCACCATGTGTGACACCCCCCCAGAAGCCCGCGGGGGTAACAGCAGGGTGAGGGGGTGACCCATTGTCTGGTGCTGTAAAACCAGAGAAGACAACTCACAAGCGCCCAGCACAGCGCAGAGCCCTCGGCAGCACAGGCAGCGTGCACAGTGGCAATCTCTATGTCACACACGAGGAGAAGCTACAAAGCAGCATGAGGAGATGCTGAGTGGGCATTTTTGTCCTGGCATTACCCTAAGCCAAGTGTCTTACAAACATGACTTCTACAGGCTGTTAGTCTGCCTGTTGTTTTTCCAGAAATCTTATTTTACTAGTCAGTTAATGACAAGGTTTTAATAAAGTATTTTCTTTGCAGAAAAAAGGATGAGAACAGAAGAATAAAAACACAAAATGATCACACCAGCTTTTCCATCCCAAACCAAGCCTTTTTTAAAAAAAAAATCCAATTGCTTCTAGTTTTATATGCATTCACAAATTACCTGAATTGTTTGTGCATTTTTTCCACCAATTACCCTCCATGCTTTGCAGAACACGCCAGAAGACAGAACATTTCCCAACTGAAGATGCCACCAGCCGCCACCTCCTGCGGTGCCCAGGGCTGGCAGGGGCAGCGTTGGCAGAGCTGCCACCGGAGCCCCCCGGGCCCTCGCTCTGCGCCAACGATGAGGAGCCCCCGAGCAGCCGCCGGGCGAGCCTCGGCACCACGGGCTGCACAGCAGCACGGCGGGATGTCAGCAGCCAGCACTGCCCTTAGAAAGGACCATGGCAGACATAAGGCTGCGCTGCCTCAAAAAGACCTCACAGCTTTCTGGCATTTAACTGTAGCTCAAGAGTTACTGTGGTCCTAGGGCTCAGAACTACAAACATTAGTGAAAAACTAAGTTATATGCTTCAGGAAAGAGTAGTTGATGAACTGATGACAACATTTCAGCTCTACCTTAGGGAAATTGAAGGAAAACAATCAAATTCAGTCCTCCTGAATGGAGAGAATTTGGTATGGGGCAAGTCTCTGAAATTCCGAGCTCTTTTATAAGCGACGTACCAGAACACTGGACATGCTGCTCTGACGGGGGACCTAAACGTGCCATGTGAAACACGGGAAGCTTTGTTCTGCTTTTCCAGCTCTGAGCAACAGAAATTGTTATCCCGGTCCCATACCATCCCCAGAGAGTTGGGCTGTGCTGGCACCTCACCACGAACAGATCGAAGCAGAGTCACCTGAGGGGAGCCAGCTGAAGGAAGGCAGTGACATGATGCTGCGTGTTAAATTTATCTATATACCCATATACACACCCTCTGCTCTGCACATGGAGCTGACACACACCACACCTGCAATAACCCAAGTCTCCTCCGATCTCCTTTTCCTTCTCTCGGCCACACGCTTCCCTGCTCTGCATGGACGGGCTGGCACGGCCAACCTGACTGGTCCAAGCCTCAGGTCCTTCTCCCCCCTGCCCCTTCTCCTCCCCAGACGTGGCCCACCAGCCCGCCCAGAGCTCCCAACAGCAAAGACAGCCATCAGTAACGGTGACAACATCTGCTCTGCTAAAGCTGGCCCACACTGCACACACACACACAGTGAAGGCAGTCCTGCAGAGGGATGAAGCTTTGCTGCTCCTTTAAATAGACCCTCTTCGTACAGGAGTGATGGATTTTGACCACGATTCTCTCCCTGGCGAGGACAGCGTATTCTGGGCATCGGGTTTATTTATACTCCAGATCTAGCTAATAGGAATTTGGGTCCAATCCAGACACTCTTGATATAATAAAGTCTTTAGCCAGAGTTAAGAAGCATTTGAAGGGACAAGATCAAGGATGAAGCTCAAATGCTGCTGCTGCAGTTGGACATTTTCACTTACTGGGGTGTCCAGCTGTCCTGACACCTCGAGCACACAGGATGAATATACCACACTCTGAGTATTCACTCCAGCCAGGCTTGCTGAGACGGAGTAACAGCTCCAGCAGAGCCAGTCCTTCAGCACACTCGAGCGAGCACTGAATTCCCATGACAGAGAATACAAAAAAAAAAAGAAATAAAATCCTCCCCCACCCCCAGATTATGTGAGCACTGACCATCACAGTCCCACCGTTTTAACACGGTTTCGACAGAGAAGAACGACAGGCTACAGCAGGAGTGGCAGTGCATTGTGAACACCCAGTCCCTCCAGCACGGGACAAAGAGCAGGAAAATTTAGGGAACGACATAATGAACCACAGTGTATAAAGCAGCAAGACCTTTGACAAGACGACTCTCCCTAATGATTAGTTACGGTTTTCAGAGCCCTTGTTTAACAGTATCACAGATGAAGTCTTGTCTAGGGAGTGACAACAGGCAAGTTGTGAAACCACTCTAGAGCTGAAGTTGCTGGAGTTTTCCCATGGGCTCACTGGGGGCAGCGTAGTAGGCAGCATCCACTGAAATTACAGGTGGTATTTATACTCCTAGTCACACCACATCCTGTATTTTTAGGTACCAAATTTTCATCCTGGGCAAAGTTTTGACTGATGAGAAAGGGAGTCTCATCCCCCTTCATGCTTGCAACCAGCAAAAGCAAAACCCAGAGGCATTATAGAGAATCAGCTCCCACGTTTACATTCCCACCGAACATCCTCAAACACAGAGCCTGCAGGTGAAGCCCAAAGGAACTTAATTTTATGGTCCAGGCCATTCCTCAGCAATGCAGCAACTCTTCAGACACAAGCCAAACCCCAAGTGCTGTGAGAAACATTGAAATACTGTTCCCTGGGTAAAGACAAGTTCTGGTACAATCACTCTGAAGAGCCATAAAGTGCCTTTGTAAGAAATCCATACCAGAGGGGTCAGAGGAACTGCCCGGAGCAAAGGGCCCCCGAGGGCCCTGAACTGTTACGGGAAACTGCTGGGCATCGGTACCCAGGTATGATAAATATAACCTCAATTCCAAGAAGAGTTTTAGTTCTTTGAACCAAGAGATATTTCAAAGACACTTGAAGTCCAGGAGCCCCTAGCCCTCCAGCCACACAGCACTGGTTTGGACACAAACGAAGTATCCTCGATACCCACTACACCCAAGCTGTAACCAGCGCTAACACAATTTTATCAGCTCTTTGAGCCAGCAATGCTTGGTTCTGCGTGATGTCAGCTCCCCTCTGGGAGCAGGGGCTCCAGTTCCCATAGTCCCCCCCAAAAATTTGGAACAAAAGGCTCGTATCACCTCTGAAATTACCACCACCAACTGACAGTTTAAAAAATTGTCAACATCAGTTTTTAAAGAAAAATAAATGCAAACAAACAGTGGAATGTAGACTAAAAAACTCAAGAGGCTTTTCATGGGAAGCTGTAGTCCAGCAAACACTCACCTGATACTGGAGGCAAAGTTATGTCTCAAACTGCGTTAAGAGATCTCTTATTTCTGGAGTCAGATGCTCTACTGCCTTTGCAGCTTCCGTGATAGCTTTCCGATACATCCCTTTCTTCTTGCGATTAAATCTCAGTTTGAAAAACTCAGAGAAAGGAGAGAGTTTTGAAACAGACAAGAATGAAGTTGTTGGAGAACCAAACCATGATACCTTGGCTTCTCGCCACGAAGGTTCCCCATTTTCCTTCTGGCTAAGGTTTATGTCAAGAACACGTGCTGGCCACCATGGAAAACCATGAATTTTACCCCAAACAATATCCCCCACTGACACAGTTCTTCCATCTTCCGTAACACACTTAGACACGCTCTGGGTGTGCAGTCTGACTGTCAGTGGCGGCACTATTTTACGCTCATCTTTTGAAGATGAAGAGACGGATGCATCATCACCAGGCAAAAAGTCACACAGTTCTGGTGATGTTACTTCTGAACTAGAAGACTTGGATTCATCTAGACTGTCGTTACTACACACCGATAGACTAGAAGAATCTGCTTTTCTTTTACGATAATTCATAAGAAAAGCCAAGTTATCATGTCCATCTTTACCCTGGGGAAATCTTTTAAAGTCATCGTCTTCACCCGAGCTCCCTGAAGATACCTCAGCTAAACCTCTGTCTGTGGATTCATCATTGTAAAATGCCTCAGGATTGGACTCCCTGCTGTTCTGTAGGACATTTATTTCGTCAATAAGTTCTGCCTTATAAATTGAAACACTCTGACCATCATTTATGCGATGGGGCTTCAGCCGGATCTTTGGGGGTGGGACATCGGCGCTGGAGTGCACCGGCCGCGTGAGCTTCAGTTTTGGGATGGAGGCGAGCTGGCTGCCTGCTGTCTTCTCCATTAAACATTTGGGTTCTCGACACCGCTCAGAGTCTCTGGTCTCCTCCTGCTCCTCCCCTCCATTCTGCATTACTCGCTCTGGACAAAATGGCTTGACTGAGCCGTGAACGCGGGAAGGGATTTTGACAACCTCGCCTTTCCCCTGGGGAGTGCTGTAGGATATTTTTATAACTGGCGTTCGATGCACTAGTTCCCCAGAAAATTTGTCATCCTCTCTCTTTTCTCTTTTGTTCCTCTTCTCTGCGTAGTCGGAGTCGCTGTGCTTTTTCTGCTCCTTGTCCTGAATGCTCAGCTTCCTCCTGGTTTTCGCGTTCTGCCTGGCTGTGTCCGCGTCCTCGGGGTTCAGGGTGTTCTTGCACTTCTCACACAGCACCTGCCTCGGCCGCAGCCGGATGGTGCTCATGATGAGCCGCCCAGGGTCCCTGTTCCGTGACAAGCGCCTCCGCGTCCTCTTTATAGTCCGTGGTGGGGGCTGTGGGACCCACTGGTGGTAGGAGTGCCGCAGCCACAGGGGCCGAGGGAAGGGGGCTCCCTCGAAGTAGGGGGGGTAGGGAGGAAGGCTGCCGGGCGGCGGGGGAGGCAGGAGTGGGGGCACTTGCTCATCCCCGCTCCCTTTGGGAGGCTTCTCTCCATCAGGCTGCGGCTGTGCCTGGCCCTGCACAGCTCCTCCAGCCTCAGCTCCTCCAGCCTCAGCACCTCCATTAGCACAAGCATCCGCAGGAGGCTCCTCGGGCTTGGGGAAGGACGGGAGACAGAACAGTCCGGACCTAGAGCAGGGCGAGAAAAGAAAGGAGAGAGACAAAGAGTCAGGATGTTTGAAAGTTGCTTCTCTGGGAAGGGTGCTCATCACAAACATTCTAGTTTCTTTAATTAAAAAAAACCCCACAGAACAACCACCCATCGCCACCCCAAACCCTCCCACAACTTCCACATACTACGAGCGCAGCATTTCCCTTGACTTTTAAGACAAGTCAGCCAATTCTGCCACTGAAAATAATAACAGCATTTCAAAATTCAGGAAAGATGTCCTAACTCCTCTGCCAGAAAATGCAGAGAGATCAAAATCTCCATTTCCATGAACTCTTTGCCCAAAGTTTTGCTCTAGGAAGTTGTAAGTTTTATCATGCAAAGCAGTTTATTTTATCAGCAGGCTGGTAAGGCCGTGAGGAGAGCTGTGGTACAGACTGTACAAACCTGCTGGGAGCCATCAGACCTCCTGTCTTCACACCCTCCTTGCCTGGCAGATTTTTCAGCTTCTCATTCCAAATCTGAACAACCTGACTTGGACGGATAACTTGCATTTTCAAACCACCGGTTCACCAGCACACAGCTCTGCTCCCGGTCTGCCCATCTCTGACTTCATCTCTTAAAATGAGGAATACACTACTACTTCAGCACAGCAGGGTTAACAACAGTGATGTACTATTGTCCAACGCCAAGTCTCACAAATGCTACCAAAGTCTGGATGCAGTATCTTGCAGAGATACTGGCAAAAGCAAACCCTCTGAAACACACAACTGCAGTTCAAGTCTCTGGGCTTCTGCACCAGAATTTATGCCCTTGGCCCGACATTAGCAATATTATGCTAACACAGCACTTGGACAAATATTTGTCCTGAAACACCGACTCAGAACGGGCAATGCTCGCTATCTTGGCTTTCCAGAGAGAGTTCTGTAGAGAGGACACCATCAGTGAAGTGCTTCAGCTTAATGCTACAGTCCCCATTCCCCTCCTCAGCAGCCATCAGTCTCCTTCCAGCCACATCTTCTCTGCGTAGTCGGAGTCGCTGTGCTTTTTCTGCTCCTTGTCCTGAATGCTCAGCTTCCTCCTGGTTTTCGCGTTCTGCCTGGCTGTGTCCGCGTCCTCGGGGTTCAGGGTGTTCTTGCACTTCTCACACAGCACCTGCCTCGGCCGCAGCCGGATGGTGCTCATGATGAGCCGCCCAGGGTCCCTGTTCCGTGACAAGCGCCTCCGCGTCCTCTTTATAGTCCGTGGTGGGGGCTGTGGGACCCACTGGTGGTAGGAGTGCCGCAGCCACAGGGGCCGAGGGAAGGGGGCTCCCTCGAAGTAGGGGGGGTAGGGAGGAAGGCTGCCGGGCGGCGGGGGAGGCAGGAGTGGGGGCACTTGCTCATCCCCGCTCCCTTTGGGAGGCTTCTCTCCATCAGGCTGCGGCTGTGCCTGGCCCTGCACAGCTCCTCCAGCCTCAGCTCCTCCAGCCTCAGCACCTCCATTAGCACAAGCATCCGCAGGAGGCTCCTCGGGCTTGGGGAAGGACGGGAGACAGAACAGTCCGGACCTAGAGCAGGGCGAGAAAAGAAAGGAGAGAGACAAAGAGTCAGGATGTTTGAAAGTTGCTTCTCTGGGAAGGGTGCTCATCACAAACATTCTAGTTTCTTTAATTAAAAAAAACCCCACAGAACAACCACCCATCGCCACCCCAAACCCTCCCACAACTTCCACATACTACGAGCGCAGCATTTCCCTTGACTTTTAAGACAAGTCAGCCAATTCTGCCACTGAAAATAATAACAGCATTTCAAAATTCAGGAAAGATGTCCTAACTCCTCTGCCAGAAAATGCAGAGAGATCAAAATCTCCATTTCCATGAACTCTTTGCCCAAAGTTTTGCTCTAGGAAGTTGTAAGTTTTATCATGCAAAGCAGTTTATTTTATCAGCAGGCTGGTAAGGCCGTGAGGAGAGCTGTGGTACAGACTGTACAAACCTGCTGGGAGCCATCAGACCTCCTGTCTTCACACCCTCCTTGCCTGGCAGATTTTTCAGCTTCTCATTCCAAATCTGAACAACCTGACTTGGACGGATAACTTGCATTTTCAAACCACCGGTTCACCAGCACACAGCTCTGCTCCCGGTCTGCCCATCTCTGACTTCATCTCTTAAAATGAGGAATACACTACTACTTCAGCACAGCAGGGTTAACAACAGTGATGTACTATTGTCCAACGCCAAGTCTCACAAATGCTACCAAAGTCTGGATGCAGTATCTTGCAGAGATACTGGCAAAAGCAAACCCTCTGAAACACACAACTGCAGTTCAAGTCTCTGGGCTTCTGCACCAGAATTTATGCCCTTGGCCCGACATTAGCAATATTATGCTAACACAGCACTTGGACAAATATTTGTCCTGAAACACCGACTCAGAACGGGCAATGCTCGCTATCTTGGCTTTCCAGAGAGAGTTCTGTAGAGAGGACACCATCAGTGAAGTGCTTCAGCTTAATGCTACAGTCCCCATTCCCCTCCTCAGCAGCCATCAGTCTCCTTCCAGCCACAAGCCAGCTAGTCTGACTCTGGTACCAAGCCACTGCCCTTCTCCAACTGACACAAAAAGAACCCCTGAGTTACCTGGGCTCTGAAAAGTCCTTTCCCAGAATGCAGAGTAAGAGAGCGAGAACTGGTTCAGATAACAGTTGAGCTTAACTGGGAAGCTCCAACTCCCAACGCCACTGTTGAAACCACATAATTTAGAACAAAATGCTTTTGTTCTAAGAGAGGGTTTTTTAAACAGAGACAACTGAGAATGTAGGTGTCTTTCAAATGACAACCAGGAAGGCGAGTACAGTTTGTACAGCCAAGGATATCAGCACCGTCCATAAAACTGAAGTGATATCATTTCCGAAGCTCTGGCTATAAATTTTGGTTATTTTATACAATGAGACTATCGGATTTGGTCACACCAGAAACACATACAAGTTTTCTGTTCCTCTCACGGACGCAGGCCCAGCCCGGCCCTGAGCAGGCAGCGCCGTCACGGCCACTTCCTTCCCGGGGAACCACCGGCACGAAGGTCTCTCTCGGCAGAAGCACCCGAAGGTTAACCCCACCGCACGACCCACGTTCGTTAAGTTAACGTTTCAGCACATGGTAGCCCTGCTAGCTTTGAACTGGCCCACCCTGCCACAGGCCCCTGCTCCTGGCCAGAGGCCATGGGGACACCAGTGCACACGCTGGCAGCCGGGGACACGTGCCTCGGAGAAGTGCAGAGGCTGTTAAGCCATTTTAACCAGAAGCCTGGGGTTCTGCTATTTACACTTGGTATAAAACTACAAGGAAAACGTCCAACTGATGATGAGGAGCCTCGACGGCAGGGACTCCTTGCCCAGACTTGAACACCAGCCCCCCTTCAGCAGCTCTTCAGCCCAGAGGCAGCAGCACCAACCGTCTGAGAGAAAGACCCCACCTGCCTGGTGGCAGGGATTACACCAACAGGACAGGCTGAACAGCAAAGCAGCTTAACATCCATTTTCGACAGCAGTGGCTTCCACGTGGCCAGGCAGTGGCTCCAGCAGGGAGGGCCATGGCCAGGCAGGGACCAGTGAGCTCTGTAAATCCTGCAGCTGCTCCTGTGCTGGGGCGGGTGGCCACCGCTGTGTCCTGCATCCCACCATGGGATCCCACAGTGCCAGGAGAGCTGCTCTCCACAAGGCCACGGCACCGGGGATGAGAGATACCCAGACAGTCCTTCCTGCCCCGTTCTGGGATCCAGTTCTTTTCCTTCATACTGGAAGTGTCTCCAAAGGCTAAGGTGGCAGTTTTGGTGAGGAACCACTGCTGTCCCTGCCTGCCACGCCAGCTCTGGGTAGAGGCAAGAAGAGTTCCACCGTCTTGCCCATCTGCCAGCCCCCTCCTGCAGGGATGTGCCCCCTGGCCCTGCTTCTCGGGCACCAGGGAAGGAAAACTGCTCCAGAGAGGCTGTGCTCTGAGCATCTCCCATCTCATCCCAGCAGCTCCCATTCAGCATGGGTGAACAACCACCACCACCCAAGAGTCCTTTTGGTTTCTCTGTCCCTCCCCACTATGTACCCCTCCTGGGATGAACTGGAAGACCAGGCTCCTTCAGCTGCAGGAAAACCCACTGGAAGGGATTAAGTCCTACCCTTGGAGAGTGCTCACCAGCTGCCTGCCCGTAGCCCCCCCGCTGCTCCCCCCTCACCAGCCCCTTCCACGCAGGCACAGCTCTGTAAGAGGATTTAGCTCCGGTGTCTTTCCACCCACCACAGGATGAGATATGTTCCATCTGACACACTTCGCTTCCCAGGAGCAGCTCACTTTTGCCACAAGGAGAAATACCAATTTCACCAGCTTTCCCTATGCCCCGCATGCTTTTTTGCACAAGTCTGGGTGAAGTTAATGCATTTCTACCCACCTACTGTCACCATTGACAGGCACCAGCCAGCAGGACACCGCTCCGTCAGCAGGGAGGAGGGGAAATGCTTTGGCCACATCTCTGTTTTGGGGCCTTCAAAGTTCAGCACCAAACTGAGAAATTCCTGCTGCCCCTGGGACACATCTCAGCCTTTACCTGCCAACCAGCTGCAGAGTGAGTCCTGTCCTCTGCTGCTTCTGCAGTGGGCAAGGTCTCTTCTTCCCTCCACATCCCAAATTTACGCCGGCTGCAGTGGAGAAGGCACTTTGAGCCCATTCCTCACACTCACCCAGAGGCACTAAGGTCCAGCCACTCACCTCACATCCTGCTGACAGCCACAACCAGGGGTCACAGCTCTCCGGCCACGTGCTGGCCACCAGATCACAGGCTTGCTGTGGCCAGCACAGCCCAGCCAGTGCTCTGGACCACCACGGATGGGATGCTGCCCCAGCAGCTGCTCTCTGTTCACAGGGGAGGGGAGCTCCTGGCCCACCACCTGGGCTGCCAGAGACTTTGCCAGAGACTTGCGGAGGCCGAGATCCCTACCCGGGGCTTCTGGAGAGACAGGCAGGAAAGCAGCCCTGAAGCAATGGTTAAAGCAGTGCCAGAAGGCACCCAAAGCCAAACCGCTTTTCTTTGTGTTTCGGTCCCTGAAACGGCACCACCACACCAAGGGGGCGGGGAACGGGCCCGCTCTGAGATTTCAGCCTTCGTTAAGGAGAGGAGAGGCAGCAGCAAGCCCACCCCAGGTCACCTTGGGGCAGGAAGGCCCATCCGAAGGCTCCCTTTTTGCCACAGAAAGGTCTGATCATTAGAGAGGATAATTACTGGGGCGGGTGGGAGGAGCTGGGGGCAGCCACCCCATTGACTAGTTCAAACACATCAACAAACCCCTTCCTTCTGCCCTCCCTGTTCCTCTTCCAGTCAGAAAGGAGGACGTAGGTCCAGGCAGTCCCAGCCGAGCCACAGCTCTCCTGGTAGATGGGACAGCACCAACCCTGGGAGACAACTCCTGTGCTCAGGGTACCACTGGCCACCCCAGCAGGGACCAGCAGCAGGGCTGGGGCAGCCATGGGCTCCAGGAGCACCTTAAACCCTGGGAGGAAACACCCGCCGGGTCGTTGTTTGGGTCCGGTGGAACAGGGGGGGGAAAAAGAAGAAAAAAATAATGGAGAAAGGTTAGGGAAAAAACTCAGGTGAAAAAAAGTGCATGCTGTCCCTCAGGAGGATGACAACTGGACTGTGAGGGGACAGAAAGAGCTGGCTCTGGCCTGACCGAGGGGATGCCGCTGTTTGGCTGGAACCAGACACCAGGCAGGGTTTATAGACTCTTAATGGAGTTAGATGCCTGAATGCTTTTGAAAATCTGGCTCCAATTTTCCAGGATAGCCATATAAAACTAAATAAACTATGAAAATTAAGTTCAGAAGTCTTGCTTCATACATCCCCTAAGCAGAAGTAGAGGCGAAGCCGGCCCTACTCCCACCCGGCGCCGATCTGGCCATTCCCTTACGGAGCGGGCAGAGAGGGAGCCCTGCCTGAGGCAGTGGAACCACCGGCCACCGAGTCCCCGGCCAGCATCAGCCCCCCCCGAGTCCCCGGCCAGCATCAGCCCCCCCGGGCGGTCAGGGATGCTGGGAGTTACCACGGCTCTGGAATACTGCATCCCCTGCGCCAAGGCCTTTCCCCCTCAGGGGAGCCGGCCCTTGGCCAGGGAAATGTCCCCTCCGTGCCGGGGGGCTCTGCCCCTCCGGAGCTGCTCACCCAGCCGGGGGGGGGGGGGGG